ATTAGGCGACCCTGAAAATCCCCCCCTGTGACCCGCCCACTTAGCAGAAAGCCTACTGGACACTTCCCATTAGTACACTGCTCTGACCGTAGACTGCAGCCCTAACTGGTGACATCAGAGCTGGCAGAGACATGACACTCACCCCCCGCCAGCCACTCAGCCTCTCCCCAGCCTGCAGACGACGACGGCACAGGGCTGGTGCGGGAGGCCACACACAGGAACACAGCAGAGCCTGGGAAATGGGACCGAGCCTCTTTGCCAGAGTCACACCTGCATCACCGGAGGGGTGGGCTCCGCAAGCCCCCTGCAGGGCCAGGGTACCTCTGGAGCCCTCCCACGTGCCAGCAGCCTCTCAGTGCTGCGACAGCCTAGGGCAGGCTCTCTGGGAGGGGCCCGTGCCTTCCGAATTCAGGGCTGACAGAGATGGGTGTGTGGGCCAGCCAAGCCCGCTGTGACTCAGCACTGCCGAGCCTCTTTCCCAGGACTCCCTGAGCCCCCCTCTGCCTGGCACCTGCTGGCAAAGGGAGCTCGGGCCTGGCACAACCGATGTGGCCAGGCTTCCCAGAACACTGGCTTCCCAGCAGCTCACCTCAGAGAGAAACAGAGGGAAGCGAGCTACCCCGAGGACAACCTCAGCCGTAGCTGGGTACTCAGACCACATCAGCTGAAAACCAATCCGTCTGCAGCCTGATGCATGTTCGCACTAAAACCCCAAGCCCCTGAAATGGTGTCTGCAGCCGGCACTAGACTCCAACAGGGAAATCGAGGCACACGCTGATGCTGCTCTCCCAGACCCAGAGGCTGCAGGACCCCAGTGGAGGGAAGACCACATGTCTTTCAGGCCTCCACCGCAAACCCCAACATGCTGCCCTGTGCCTTGGGGTCAGCTGATGCCCTGGTTGTGTTTCTCCAGGCCTCTGCAGAGGAGCCCTGAGAGGATGACCGGTCTAGGCAACATGCAGGCACAAACCCAGGCCTTTCCTATGGCTCCGTGACCTGCAGGTTTACCACCCCGAGGGCTCCTACCTGCCACTGCCATCTCACGGTCCAGCCCCCTCTGCCAGGTGGTCAAGGAACAGAGGGCCAGCTCCATGGCCGGGACTAGGTAGCCAGGGACTCTGGAAACCAGGAGGGACCCCGGACAGAGCTCTGGAGCCCCTAGCCCACTGAGGCTGGGGTAAGCCAACAGCCACCAGCAGGAAGTTCCATAAACACCCCATCTGGGCGTATACCCAGGCAGACTTCACAGAGCTCATAGAGTCCTTCCAGAAAGCACACATACCCATCCCATTACTCAGGCTTCTCTTTAAGAATCCTGAATACTGAATACTGAAAGTTTCCAGATAAACATCGTCCACTAAAGCACTGTATTTCCAAGGAAAGTTAATGAACCTCACCCAGAAGTGGTTTGGGGGTGAGATGAGAGAGCTCACCATGGGGCGCATGGCTGAGCAGGGCAACCCCCATCCAGCTGGACAGCATTGCCTACCCACCCATCAGTTCTTCCTCAAAGATAGAAAGCACAAATTTAACCTGTGCCATCGTAAGGATGCTCTTTGACGGCGGCCAAGACGTCCTGGCTGGGCCTAGTGTGGGACCCCTTCCGACGTGTCACCATCTCACCCCTTAGCACAGTAACTGGGCATCAACAAAGAAACTTATAATCCAGCAAGAAACACAAGCATAATATTTTTCCTTCAAATGAAGACCCCAACTATTCCAAAAGGTTTCACCTTTTTAAAGTTAATTACTGGGGTTTCTGGGTGGCTCAGTTGATTAAGTATCTGCCTTTGGCTCAGGTCATGATCCCAGGGTCCTGAGATCGAGTCCAGTAATGGGCTCTGGGGCTTCTGCTTCTCCCTCTCCCTCTGCCTGACACTCCCCCTGCTTGAGCTCATGCTCTCGCGCTCTCTCTCAACTAAATAAATAAAATCTTCCCAAAAAATTTTTTTTTAAATTTAGTTAACTCTTTCTTGGAAGGATTTTCCCTAAACAAAAGCCAAAAAAAGCACATCACCAACATCATGAAGGGCAGGCTGATAAGCACGCAGCTTTCACCACCCAGGTAATATGGACAAATCTGCCTTAAAGAAACTGCCTTAAAGAAAATAAATGGAGGGGTGCCTGGGTGGCTCAGTGGGTTAAAGCCTCTGCCTTTGGCTCGGGTTATGATCCCAGGGTCCTGGGATTGAGCCCTGCATTGGGCTCTCTGCTCAGCGGGGAACCTGCTTCCCTTCCTCTCTCTCTGGCTGCCTCCCTGCCTACCTGTGATCTCTGTCTGTCAAATAAATAAATATTAAAAAAAAAAAAAGAAAGAAAAGAAATGGAAAAAATGAGAGATGGATAATGTCGTTTTAATGTTAAACAAGTGTATTGTACATCAGGGTTTTTTTTTAGTCAACTGAGGTACTTATTAATGATTCAGATATCAAAAATTTTAAGTGTCAGAATGTTTTAAAGCATTTCTAAGTGCTTTTTTCAACTGCAAAAACAATGAGTATTTTTGGCTTCAGAATATTTTCCACTGCATTGTAATGAACAAGCAGCTCAGTGTTCGGTTTTAAACCAAAGCAGGGATTACATCAAGAATGCAGTTTGAATTGTGCATCTATCTAAATACAAAAGTGGGGGGAAAATCCTAACTGCAGGCCACAGTCTCCCCAGACACATCCCCCCACAGCTAACGCTCACACTTCTGCTCCTCCAGCCCAGAATCTTCCCAGGACTGAGTCTGTGCTCACTTGTGCCCAATGGGTTAAATTAGAATGGTAGGGGAAACAAAATTCAATTCAGAAACCAAGACAAAAGTCTGAGCTTTGCTTGAAAAATGAAAGGCTACTGCGGTGAGACCTAACATATTCTACCCCTTCAAACAATCAAGACATTTAACTCCAAAGACAGATCTCAAATAAGAGCCCAAACTCAAGCTGACTGCAGGGCAGCATGGCACGGCCAGACGCAAAGACCTCAAGTGCAGATGTGTCTTTGAGTCCAAGGGTCAGGGACAAATACCAGACAACACGACCCAAGAGGACACGGAGGACCCGATGAACCATGACCCCTCCCTTCCCCTGTAGCTGGATTCTCCATCACGACTCTCTCCCTTGCCCAGGCCAGTCGCTGGACCTTGCCTTGGAAGGGCAGCTGCTTGCGGAAGAGAAAACTAGGGACACCATTCTCAATTCCCGGGCACAACCTCAAGGGCAGTATCATTTTCCACTTTTAAAGACTTTTCCCTAAACTGAAACAGGCAGGGCCACTGAAAGTATGCAGTTGTTAATGAAACAGATGGCCCACAATTACTTTTCCTCCCCTTCCAACAATACGATACAGTTATGTGATCCTGGAAGCACGGCCATTGCAGACCCATAGCTGGGAAAGTCATCCCAGAGCCCCTGGACTCCTGACAGAGTGTTTCTGGAAATACCAGTTTACTTGATCTATGGCACATTTCCCCCGCCAGCCCTTGCTGGCATACACACTGAAAAAAGAACACTGCAGACCACCCTAGAAATGACCTTTCCGCAGGCAGACTCGATTTTTCCTTAACTGGGGACAAAGGTCACACAAGCAAAAAGCCATTCCTTGTCCAGATAACCTGTGCAGAGCCTGCCACCTCCCCAGGCAACCTACAGCAGGATGGCAGGGGGACGGAGACTGGCGTGGGGGGAACTGCAGCCAGGATCGGTCTGGTGGGAAACGGCAGAGATCAGGGCGGCCCCATACCACACGCAGACCCGGGGAGCACCAGGGTCGCAGGGACAAGGAGCTGCTACAGGACAAGGAGGTTGGGAGCGGGAGGGCGGCTGCCCCTGGCCCGGAAGAACCCGGCTCCTCTTCGGGTGAGGCCAAGGAGGAGCAAGGCGCACCGCTGGCATCCTAAACCCTCAACCCAATGCTCCGGAGAACTCTCTGATCCCAAACACGGAACGCACAAACCCCGCAGATCCCTGGGCTCATCCTAGGACCCGGGGCGCCGGTCTCTCAAACAGACCTGCTGCCTCCCCCGATTGGGCGCACCCAAAGGGCACGGATTTAAAGAAACCCCCACCCTGAGAGACCACCGACGCCTGGGAGGGCGGGGAAGCCGGATCCAGAAAAGCGGTCAGCGCGGGGGCAGCAGCGGGTTCCTCGGATCGGTCAATGCCACTGCGGCCTCCATGTCCCTGGGTCGTTGGGTGACCCCACTCGAGCGGTATCGCCCCCAGCCAGGACCCCAGCGCTCCAGCCCGCCCCGCTGTGCCGGCCCCCAGCTTGCGGCCGGGACCCTGCGCCCCGCACCCCCGCCCCCAGTCCCGCGCGGGCCACAGCGGACACGAGCCCGGGCGGGCGCGGGGACGCAGCGCCCGCAGTGCGACTGGCGCAGCCAACGAGGCGCGGGGCGCGCCGCCCGGACCCCGACCCCGCGGCCGAGGAAGGCACCCGTCCTGGGTTTGAGAGTACGCGGGTGGGCACGGGCCAAGGACAGGGCGGAGGGGAGGATCAGCGCTAGTTCGGGAACGCAGGTACGGGGCAGCGGGACCCGGGAAGAGGAAAAATGGGGGGTCCCCTCCGAACCTGGGGGAGTGGGGAGAGGGTCTCCTCCGGAGTGCGGCGGGAGGCTGGGAGGCACATTCTGGGTCCAGGATAACGGGGGCGGGCAGAAGAATAAGGGAGCCCTCCGGTGCAGGGAAGAGGGATGGAAAGGTCCCTCCGGGACCCAGGAGAAGTAAGAGGGGTCCGCTTTGGGCTGCGGGCCGGGGACACGGGATGCGAGCCGGGAGCCACGCAGGACAGTGATGAGCAGGGAGCTGGGCGCGTCCCTGCAGCGGCAGAGGGGAAAGAGCGCCCAGGTCCGCGCGCGAGAGCAGGAGAGTCCAGGACCCCGCCGGGGAAGGGGTGGGAGAGGCGGGACCCGCCGCAGGGGTCCCGGGGCCGCGCGTGCGGGTAGCGACGTGGAGGTCGGGGGTGTCGCCGCAGGCGAGAGAGGGCCAGTCACGCGAGGAGGGGCGGGCGCTCACCTTGGGTTTGTACAGCCACTTTCGGAACCTGTTCATCATCGCCACGCCGCGCGGACCCGGCCCCGCGGCCCTCGCCTCCGCAGCGCTGCGCCCCGCCCGGCTGCGGCGCGGGGCGGACGCGGGGGCAGGGCCGGGCCGGGGCCCGCGCGGTGCCTGGGCGGCTGGCGCGAGCGGAGCCCGGCGCGGGGCCTGGCGGAGGGTGGCGGACAGGTGCGCGGGGCAGGTGCGCGGTCGGAGATGCTCCGCTAGCGGCACGCAGGGCGGACCTGCAGCCCCGCAGCAGGCGAACCGGCGGGCGGACAGACGCGGGCACCGGGGCACCGGCTCCTCGCGGCTCACTGACACCCCGAGCCTCGCCCGCCACCGCGCCGCGCGCTGCACATGCGCCGACGCGCCGCGAGCCCCCTGCCCGCCCGCCCAATCCCGCGGCGCCGTGCCGCGCCCCGCCCGAGGCGCGCTCCCCGAGGGCGACCCAGCGCTCCCGGGAACGGCGAAAAACTACAAGTCCCGATGGACATTGCGGGGAGGCGGGGCCCTGGGTGCGCCGCCCTTGCCAGCGCATGGGGGCGCTGTGCATTCTGGGGCTTGTAGTCTTTCCGCAGGGAGAGCCGGAGCGTGCAAGCCGGTTGCTAGGAGACGACGTCTAAACTGCGCCCTTGAGCACACCCCCTGTCCCGGCTAGTGACGGAGGTCCCAGCTGAGCAGGCGTGAAGTGGGGGACCCGCCTGGATTTGTGAGAACTGCCGCACCCGCTGGCCCTGGCATCTGCTGTGGCTGCGGGTGGAGTGGGACGGGAGGTTGGGCGGCAGGAGCGCCCGCGAAGCCGGCCCGCAGGTAGGAGGTGGGAAGGAAGCAGGTAGGGAGCCGAAAGGGAGGAGGGCGAGGCGCGTCTCCTCAGCACCAGCGCCTCTCTCCAGCAGCTTCCCATGGTCCGCAGGCGGTGCTCATCCTCCTTTTGCTTCTCATCTTGCTTTCGCTGACCACCTTTCTGGGCTTCTTCCCAGCTTCTTGATTAAAGTTAACTGTGCTTTTGTTTTCTTTTTAATCGCTACAATAAACCGTGCTTTTTATAAAGATTTTCTACCATATTCACTAGTTCCCCCAACCGTGCCCTAATTTGGATCCATAAAGACAATCACCAAATCTAAGAACCTATTATGTATCAAGCAAAGAGCTAAAAACAAACGTGTTGAATACAAAAAACTTAAATTCCCATTGACAGCTGGAGAAACTGAGGGAGAAGATGCTGCTATGCTCTTGGCTTTAGGAGAGGGTCCAGATCAAGGACAGCAGTCCCCCAGCAGCTTCGCACTTTCCCCTGACCCCACCCAGCACCTCTCTCGCGGTGTTCTGAAATGTGCAGATTTGGGGTGCAGGAAATGGAAGGAATGTCTCCCTTGGTAGAGAACTTACTCTCTGAGACTCCTGTTATTTATCAGTGGTCCCAGGGCTACGTGCTCTGTTGGCTCTGGGTCCCTGAGCTCTTTAGTCTATGAGAGTCAATGAGACTGGGCACAGGCAGCCTCGGAGATTTCCTTGTGTGCTGGTGGTGGGCCATGTTCATTTTTGAGTGCCTGGATGATCTTCCCTATTCCCTCCAGCTACTACCAAATCGCTGCTCCGCTCATGAGCAAACACGCTACCCACCCACCCTGGGTTGCCTCTTATCTTCAGTTCTTCTGCATCTTCTTTCTGGAGCCCACTCTTGTGGGCTCCAGGTCTGATTTTTCACTCTGATCAGATTTTTACCCAACTCCTCCTCCAAAATTCTTCATCAAAGTCATCGTTGACCCCGATATTGCTAAGTCCAGTGATCAGATCCCCATCTCTTCCTGGAACTGTCAGCAGCAGGCAGCCCGGCCGAGTGCTTGCCTCCTGAACACACCACCTTGCTTGACTGGAACAGATCACACTCCCTGCCTCTCCTCCTGTTGCTCCTCTTGCTCCTTCTCAGTCTTCTTGGCTGGGGTCCCCTCTGTTTCCCAGCCTCCTAACACAAGAGCTCCAGGACTCAGTCCTTGGAAGCTCTTCTCTTCACTCCTTCCCTGGGTGATTTTCTGCAGTCACACAGTCTGATAAAAAACCATTTTCTCCTGACCTTTCCAAAACTTCTATCTCTAGCCTGAACATCACCCTGGGACTGCAGATCCCGTTACCTATTCTTTGCCAGTGGAAGTCTAAAAAGTCCCCTTAAACTCAACATGCCCAAATGGACTCTCCATCTTTCCCCCGTAAGACCCGCTCCTCCCCCAGCCAGTGCTTCTAGCATGAGAACTCGGGATAGAAACTTGGGTGCCTGCTCTCTATGGTTCTGTCCTTGGCCAACTCCAAGGCTGGGGCTGTTGCTGCTGTGCAGAGGCTTCCCCCCCCATGCCTCCCAGTTTGAAACTGTGCTTGGGAGGAAGGCTGGCTTCAGGGAAGTGAGTGTATCAGTTAAGATTAGGTTCTTAATCTTAAGATTAAGCTAGGGGTGCCTGGGTGGCTCAGTTGGTTAAGCATTGACTCGGCTTTGGCTTAGGTCATGATCTTATGGGTTATGGAATAGAGCCCTGTGTCCGGATCCCGCTCAGTAGGGAGTCTGCTTCTTTCTCTCTCTCTGCCCCTTCCCTTGCTCATGTTCGCTCTCGCTTTCTCTCTCTCTCTCTCCCTAAAATAAAAAAATCTTTTAAAACTTTTTAGGGGCACCCGGGCGGCTCAGTAGGTTAAGTGGCTACCTTTGGCTTGGATCATGATCCCAGAGTCCTGGAATCGAGCCCCACATCGGGCTCCCTGCTCTTGGGGAAACTGCTTCCCCCTCTGCCCCTCCCCTGCTCATGTTCTCTGTCTCTCTCTCTCTCTTAAATAAATAACATCTTTTTAAAAATTTTTAAAGATTAGATTCAGCTACATGTAACAAAACCCCCCAAGATCATAGTGGCCCAAATAAGATCATTCATGTTTCCATAAAGGAGATTAGTGGGGAGGCAATCCTGGAAGATATAGCAGCTACAGAAAGCCACCAGGGACTTGGTTCTTCTCTCTTCCTCCTCTGCCATCTTGAACATGTTTCCTCACAGTCCAGAATGGCTGCCCAAGTTCCTGCCATCACTTCTGAGTCCAGGCAGCAGGATGGGAAAGAGAAAAAGCATGTATGCCTCTGCCTTTTTAGAAAGAATTTTCCAAAATCTCACACCTTCATGGCATACCCAGCTGCCACAGAGGCGGGAGAATGTCATCTTCCAGCTGGGCAGCAATAAACCCAACTAAAACTTGGTGCTTTGTTACTCAGGAGGAAAGAGGGACTGGAGATTAAAAAGCAACCGGCAAAACCTGCCATGGGGGTCTATACTTAGAGCACAAGCCTTCACAGCATGACTTGGCAAAAATCCTTCAGAGAATTTTACTCAGGCTCAAAAGCGAGGGAAAGAATATACATGAATTAATGCACATTTGGTATCTATGGAAATGAAGGCTCTCTAGTGGCTGAGATTGTTGAACTGGTTTGTGTCTGATGGAATTTAAACCTCCTATAGTCTCATTTCTTTCTATAAAGGATTTGCTAAGAAAAGAGAAGCTTTGGTCCAGCCCACCTTTAAAGTTTCCTTAAATATGAGACAGTCAAGTCTTGATTAGGGGAGTTAAATCTTGAGAATTAAATGCCACTTCCCACACCTCTGGTTTTGCCCCCATTAAAACAAAGCTGAGGAGCTAAGAGCATGTATCAGAATCAGATGACTTTACTACCTGTCTCCCACCCAGACATGTGATCATACTGCCTAAGCTCATAGGCCAACTTCAGTGAGAACGCAAAACTCCAAGGTCTCTTTTCCTGATGTCCACCTTCTTGGTGCAGCGGCTCCTTGCTGGGGTGAGGGTGCAGATCCCCTGGCCCAGGAGCTCTGGGCCTGACAGTGAGCCAGAGACCCCTCTCTCCTCCCCACAACCCCCCACAGACTCCCTTCTGCAGCCACCACCTGGCTTATGCCGTCATAGCTTCCAGTTTGTTCTATCCAGGCCAGCTCTGGATTTGGGGGACAGCTTGGGTGGTTCCCTTGCTCTTCGTGGACTTGTGTCCTCACCAAAGGGCCCCTAGGAGCATGCTTTCTCTGGAATGTTCCAGCTCCAGGACAGGAGGGAGGGCAGGGAAGTCATCCACCCTGGAGCAGCTCCCCTGCATGCAGACCGCCCACATCAGCTGCTGGAGGGAGGGAGCCCTTTTCTGACTGTTCTTGGTTCCTCCAGGCTGAACTGTGTTCAGAGCAGAGGCAGGATGGTAGGGTCAAGGGCCAGATCCCATCTAGGGGCAGCGCCCCCAAGTGACAGCCTGGAGAAGGGATAAAAGATACTGCATCCTTAACATTGTTTCTATAAAGACGGACTTTATACTTGTTGCACTCATTTCCTTGTGAGCTCTGGAATATGTGAGTGTTATTTGCCTTTATTATGTTGGCATGGTGCCTCTTTCACCCAGGAATGGCTCCCCCTGAGATGTTCTCACGAGTCAGGCAGAGAGGCTCAATCCCCAACTCCACAAGGGGTTTGTTCTCATCCACATCTATTTGCTTAGTAAATGTTGTCATATCTGTTATCCTCCATTTAAATGAAACAATATAACTGAACTCTGTTGAACTATAGGATCTGTGGGAGCACAGGTTTTAAAAAACACTAATATGATCTTTGGGGAGATCTATCTCTGGGTGTCAAACCCATCTTTCAGATTAAAACTACGAGTACCGGTTAGGGTACTGGACCTTCTGGCACCTTTTTGTGCCCTGTCGTTCACCCCGCAGACATAGCTGCGGCACTGGCTGGGGACCAGCTCCGGCAAGGGCCAGGACTCAGAGGCAAGAAAGCAGGGTCCTGCTCCAGCTGCTCACGGGGGCGTCACACAAGTTCGGACGAGTTCAGAGAAGGCACAGAGAAAGGACAAGCTTGGGGGAGGAGGAAGCCAGCCTCCACAGGGGCTGTGTTTGCACCCGGTGTTGTTGGGATGCCTAGGAGCTCACCAGGGAGAGGATAAAGAGTGTTCAAGTTTCAGGAGACACATGTCAGGGGTGTGGGAGCCAGTGAGAAGCCTGGGTGGACAGAGCTGGGGTAAAGCAGGGGAAGCAGGAAGAGGGCTCAGGGTCTGGGATTCTAGGCTAGGAAGGGTCTCCTAAGAGCTGAGAACTTGGAGGGATTTGTTCATGGTGGCTGTTAGTGGTAGGAGACTCCCCTGACCTGAGACCACTCCTCCCCAAACCTCCCTCCCCTCAGAGGGTAGCACCGCCCCTGTCTGATCTACCAGGGGCCTTGGGTCCTCCTGCCTTTCCCCCACACTGGGCACAGAACCTACCTAATAAAATAAGGTGTTCCTGGGTCCATCAGCTGCATTAGGCGGAGAAAAACCCAATCTTGCTAGGGCAAAGATTGCAAATGGTGGAAATAAATCTCTTCCAGGACTTCACCAGAGTCAGTGTTTCCTTCATGGCCCCTGAGGCCTGTCACTGCAAGCCAGACCCGAGGAAGGGGTCCCTCAGAGCTGGGTCCTGGGCAGACCCCCTCCCTAAAGTCCAGGCCCCACACCAAGAAAAGGAACTGGCTACATGCCCCTCAGTGCCACCTTTGGCTCAGAGATTCCTTCAGGTTGTGCCCAGAGCTCACTCCCTTGGTACTGATCATTCATGTGCACTTTGGGGCAAGACCAGTTGTAGAAATAGGGCTGTGTCACACCAGAGTCCCCCACAGGTCTTAGCCGTTACCTTCAGCAATTTGCCCTGGTTTCTGTAGGACCATTGGCTGGTCTCAGTGCATTTCCCTATTTCGAGAGGACTTTCCTAGTCAAATACAAGAGAGGGTCCTGCTGGCTTCAGTCCCTGCAAAGCTAGGGCTGGGCCCAGGAGCAGCCCCTGAGGGGACAGCCTCAGATCAGGCCTGCAGGGCTGGGTGGTGCAGGGGCCCAGGGATGCAGCCAGCAGATGGGAGAGGATGCAGACTGGTCCTGACCTTGACCAGGACAGTGTCAAAGCCTCTTTCCCTGAGCACTCGGTAAAACCCACTCAGAACCATGCCAGGTGCAGGGCTCCTGCTGGAGCCCCGTGTACTGGGTTCTGATGTCCTTGGCCTGCCACCTGCTGTCACCTTCCTAGAAATTCTCTTGCTTTCTGGTCCCTTGTCTGCCCCTACAGGGAAGAGTGTGGGGCCTTGCCTGTCTGCACATGCCATCCTTCTGTCCAGGTCAGGATGGATTCCCTGCTGGGTAATCTGAGGCCACTCTAAACTCCTGTCCCTTCTGAGGCCACCTGCTCTCTTCCTCGGTGATAAAAGGCACTTGGGAGCCCCGTCTACCAGGAAACCAACCCATCCTTCCTTTCTGGAACATCTTCTCTCCTGATTCCCCTCTTCTCTTTCTGGAGTGCCTGTTAATTGGCACTTGGACTTTTTGGAGAGGTTCTCTGGTTTTCTGTGTGCTTTTCTCCTACTTTCTGCATCTTCATCTTTTTTTTTTTTAAGATTTTGTTTATTTAGGCACCTGGGTGACTCAGTGGGTTAAGCCTCTGCCTTTGGCTTGGGATGGAGCCCCACATCAGGCTCTCTGCTCAGCAGGGGGCCTGCTTCCCCCCCCTCCCCCTCTGCCTGCTTCTCTGCCTACTTGTGATCTCTGTCTGTCAAATAAATAAATAAAATCTTTTTTAAAAAAAGATTTTGTTTATTCATTAGAGAGAGCGAGAGAACGCACAAGTGTGGGGAAAAGACAGAGGGAAAAGCAGACTCCCTACAGATCAGGGAGCCCAACATGGGGCCCAATCCCAGGACTCCAGGATCGTGACCAAAACCAAAGGCAGAGGCTTAACCGACTGAGCCCTCCAGGGCCCCTGGACTTTTTTTTTTTTTTTTTTTTGCTCTCTGGGAGATTTTCTCAAATTTACCTTCTGCCCCTTGTATTTAAATATTTTCATTTGCAAGAACTCCGTTTTCCGCCGTGGTTCCTCGTTCCTCAGATCCAATATGGCTTGTCTTGGGAGGGGGTGTGCTTGAATCTGGGCTTGAACTCTGCTCCTCCTCTCGCTGGCTTGCTTCAGTGTTTCATGTCAGAGGTTCTCTGAGGCGTCCAGTGGTATTTGGTCCTCACTCTCCTTAAAGCGCTAGGGGACTCAGCCAGTGGCCACATCGGCTGAGATAGGCCGTCTCCCTGGGGACCCTAGTGACAGTTTGCTTTTCTGCTCTGTCTCCCCTGGGGGGCCTCGGCTGGGGGCTGCTGTCTAGAGCCATCCCAAGTTGTTGGGGGTGAAACAGAGGTGCCTCAATGGTCCCCAGGGCACTAGCAGCCTGGCTCTGCCAACAACAGGTGCCTGGGAAGACCAGCAGGGGCCTGCGGGTGGGGAGGGAGCCCCTGCTGGGCCTGTCCACCCCCCTCCAAAGACAATTTGGGGGTTACCTGTTCGAACTGGTTCCTGGGGGCCCAGCCCCACCCCAAACAGCTTCTCCAAGGTCTCCCAGAGAGGGTCTCTGGGCAAATCGGTTTCCTGGAGGTAGTATGTTTCTGGAATGTTCAGTGCCCATACCAGGTCTGGCTACTTACCAACTGTGCATTCTCTCTAGGTGTTGGGTCCTTCGTCTTTAAAATGGGGGTGTTGGCTCTGGTGACCCGAGGATTCTTTTTGCTCCAGCCTTTTGGGATTAGGTTACCCACCCCTCTGAGCAAGGCCTGCTGCCTAGACAGTCACTGAACCCCCCCTGGGCTGAGAGATGCTCAGAGCTCCCCCCACTCCCAGGGGTTGTCCCTACCTTTGCACAGTTGTAGGCCTTGGGGCCACATGGGGTGCCTGGGAGCCTCCAGGGGCTGTGGGTGAGGGCTCCCCAAGACCAGCCTGGGCCCTGCAAATAGCAGAGGCCTGCAGGGACGCAGTCCCGGAAGTGGGCCGAGATCACCCAGATGGGGTTCCTCTTTCCCTCTAACACACCTCACTGTGAGAGGCCCCAGGCTCGCCAGGGATGGCCGTCTGTGGATAAGGGATCTGTGGCTGCCTTTGCCACCTGCTGAGGCTATGGAGCATGTGACCTGGAGTGGTTTGCTTTTAGGGTCCTGCCCTGGGAAGATGGCCTACTATGGAAAATGCATTGAAACTGTCATTGAGCAATTGAACAAATTTCAGCCTGAGAAGGACAGTCCTGAGCAGTTCCTGGAGGCAACGTCCACAGCCCTACAGGTAGGGCCAGAAGGCAGCTCGGGGCTTGCTGGGAGGTGTGCCCATGACACCTGTCATGTAGCTAGTTACCTTCTAGCAAAACAACATCAAATTCCTTCCTCACAGCTGCTTCCCTTCTGACCTGGGGAGAGGCCTTGCACACAACTCCTGGGTGTGCTTGGTGTCACTGTAGGTCACAATGATGACCCTTCAGGGGCAGGTCACCATGTGTGACCTCAAGAGACACTCTTGGCTATCAGAGTGTCACCCCAGTGTTGTGAAAAGAAATAAGGCCTCCACAACCCAGGACATTCCTGCGCGGTACTATCCCAAACCAAAAATAGGGAAGAGTCACCTTGAATGGGCCACCACTCCGGAGAGTGGCATCCTTCTTGGGGCAGCTCTGCACGGACAGCGAGTGGGCTAATTGGCCTCCCACAGAGCAGTGAGGCCCAAAGGAGCCCCCCACCCCCACCGCCCCTTCCTCTTGTGACCCACACCTGGAAGAAACAAGGGACCTTCCCCTTGGCAACTCAGCTCTGTCCCTGTGCCCCAGGATGGTCCCTGTCCTTTTCTGCCCCAACTGCAGCCCACCCCCATTTCCAGCATGTACAGAGACCACTCAGCGGGATCCCAGGATGGGAGCGGTGTGGCTCTAGCCCCTCCCGCCCCCTCAGCAGCCCTCAGAGGCCTCGCTGGGATCAAGGTCTCTGGCCTTGTGTCCCACGGCCATCTGTTGAGGGCGGAGCCCAGGGAGCAGGAGGGTGCGTTGCGGGGGACCTGCTTTCAGGACTTTGGGAACATGGGTTCCATTGGAAAATCTGTGGGATAGCTCACCGCCCGCCACCCGCCATCACCATCCAGCATCGAGAACAACTGCACCTGCAGCGGCTTGAAGGTGGGCTGGGCTGTGGTGTGAACGCCACAAACTTCTTCTGCGAGTTTGCCTCCGATTGCTTTACCAGGGCCTTTGGGAGCTATTCAGTGCCCACCCCCTGGGGGACAGCTGTGACCAGGCCCCGCCTCCGCCACCCCCCAACCTACTCAGCTGCGGCCTTTGCCGGGCCCCAGGCCACAGACGGACTCCCTTTCCCTTGGGGTGTGGTAGGGGATTCTCCTCCTTCATGGGCTGCCTGTGGTATGGCAGCCTGAAAACATAGAGGCAGGATGGGGTGAGTGGGCACTGACAGCTGAAGAGTCCGGAGCCCTGGGCGGTATGCACACAAAAAGGCTGGAGGGGTTCCAGCAACCAGAGCCTCTCCCACAGGAGAAAGCTTGGGACTCAGCTGACCCAGGGCCTGCTCCCAGTGTCACTCAGGAGAAGACTGGGTAGGGCTTGGGGAACACTCCTCCCCCCAGGCCCCTGCACCCCTCTTTCGAGCTCTTGCCCTCAGAGCCTAGGTGTGGTGGGGAGGTGGCCAGGCCACAATGCTCTGGCCCCAGGAGGAACTGGCCTCCCCAGTGCCTGCTTACAGCCTGGCCCCTTGGGCTACTCCAGGGCACGGCTGAGCTTCTGCCTGCCACAGCAGCCATGACTGCTGTTAGTCTTCTTGTCCTAAAAGGAAGACCTCCCTTGAGGGTCACACCTTCCACTTCTGAGAAGGCTCCTTGGTGTCCCTGCTGTGTCCGAAGCTCCCCTGCCTGCGCCCCTCCAAAACTTACCCCCACTGCTCAGCACAGTGGAGTTACTGTCTTTATTTCTAAATAACAACTGTTACAGAAAGTTGCGTTTGTTACAACAAATAGTGTGGGGCGTTTTTCCCCACAACCAATAGATTATTATGGGCAAGCCCTGCGTGATTCAGCCCACCCCGCTCCGTGTGCGTTTCTGTGGGGAGGGAGATCAGCACGGCGTCTGCGCCCCGGAGAGCCGCTTGGGATCTCTGCGATGGGCACAGATGCTCACACCGGGCAGAGAGGCAGCTGGGCCCCCAGATCCTTTCAAATGTCCACCTCGAGTCCAGGCAGCTGGGACAACACACTCTTGTCTCCAGCTGTCAGAAAATTGATGCGATCTGCTGCTTTTGTTGGACCAAAGCTCAAGACTGCCACCTGACAGAGAATGACCTGGCATGCAAACGGGCCAGCAGTCCAGGGAAGGGCAGGTATCTTGGTTCAAAAAAGATAAGTTGCAGTCCTAACCACTGGTTACCTGTGAATGTGACCTCACTGAGAAACACCGTCTTTACAGATATCATTAAGAATCTCGAGATAAGATCATCCTTGATTCAGGGTGAGCCCCAAATCCAGTGACTAGCATCCTTGTAAGAAGAGGGAAATCTGGGCACAGACACAGAGACACAAGGAAGAAGTCCATGTAACCTCAGAGGCAGAGTTTAGTGATACATCTATGAGCTATGGATACTGGGACGATTGAAACCACCCAAAGCAGGGGAGAAACACGGCATGGACTCTCCCTCTGGTCCCCAAGAAGGGACCGATCTCCCAACATCTCACTTTTGGAATTCTGTCATTCCTATTGTTTTCAGCTGCAAAGTGGGTGGCAATTTGTTAAGCAGCCCCAGGACATTTGCACAGACAGGGAGCCTGCTAAAGGATGCTAAGGACAGAGGCACCAGGTTGGCACACTCCGGGTGGCTGCCAGAATGCTGGGCTCTGGGGACCAGGTGGAGAGGAGCGCACCTGAGGTGGTCAGATGGAGCCTGGCTAGAAGGGTGGGGAAAGGTCCAGGGACTTGTGGGCTGGGGGAAGGGTGCACTGACTTCCTCTCTGCAGATCAATCTATAGATCACACAGGGATCCGTCACCGCTTCAGACATGTGGTGCTGAGACATGGGGCTGAGCCTCTCCAGGCTCCAGTCTCCAGAGTGGCCTGAGAGCGATATGGAGAAACCGACTGGAGCTGGAGAAGGGAGGCAGGGACAGGTGGGGACGAGGGTGATGGTGCCAGCAACCAGGCATGCTGCCAGCAGGCGTCCTGCTCTGGCCAGAAAGCCTGGTTCTCCTGTGCTCCCTGGACAGGCCCTCAGGGTGGGACGGGAATGAGGAAGAGCTCCTCCCTCCACCCTCTGCCCCACCCCATGCTCCCAGCTCTGACCCCCCCCCCACAGTTAATGTCACTTGGGAACATCTAAAATTGTGTCCATTGGTGAGGGAGGATTCTCCCTCCCCCACCAGCCCTCCTGGGAGACAAGCAGAGACCAGTATCCTGTAGTTCCTTCCAGAGACCGTGAAGGCCTCTCTCGCAGAGACACTACATGTGTCAAAAATTACATCTACATGGTATCTTTTACATATAAAAACAATATCACTTTTGTATAAAATTTTCGGACAGTTTTAGCCATTGGTAGCCCCTGGTCGCACAGTCCTGCACTTGGCCGTTGGCCCTGAAGCTTCCCCAGGAGCTTGTTCTGTGTCTGTGGATGCAAGAACATCCTCCTGCCTGACCATCACACAGCCATCTCCGGCTGATGGGCTTGGAGGTCCTTTCTGGTATTTCAGGGTGAGAAGCACCACAGGGCTGATGGGTGTGCCTGGGCCTCTGCAGCTGGGGTCATGTCCCAGAAGAGGCAGCTTCTCCATGAGAGGGAGTGAGCCCTGGTGAGCTCTCTAGACACAGCCAGCCAACTGTGTCCTCGGCAGGCGGGGAGTGTCTGTTCCCCTCCAGCCCTGCTTACACACTGCTCTGGCAGCTGGTTTCCTCATTGCCAAATAGGTGCGAAAGGGCGCTCGGGGTAGTTCTAATCAACATTTCTCTTATTTTGGTTTTGAAACAGTAAGTGTTTCTGTGTCTGAACTATCTGCTTGAACATGTATCTTTTGGGAAACAGTGTTTAACTATGAGACAATCCCAGAAAGCAATGGCTTGAAGAAATTAGAGGTATCTTTGCTCACGTGGGAAGCAGTCTGCAGACAGGCGGTCTAGGGTGGGCTCAGCGGCTCCCTGGTGCCATTAGGAATGCATTCTCCTTCCTCTCTGCTTGGTGCTCCTTAGAATGTACCTCTATCTTGCAGTCACAAAACAGCTGCCCTGCCTCCAGCATTGCATCCATATCCCAGGTAAGAAGAGGAGAGAGGCAAACAGCACAAGGCAGGTGCCAGGTGAATCTGCCTAACATTCTAAGAGCCTTCTTGGAGGCTACACCGGGCAATCTGCCATTAAATCTCATTGATTAAAGCCCTTTTTTACATGGCTCCATCAGCAGGGGGCTGGAAAAAATTCGGGCCGAGCACACCATCCACGATGAGATAGCATTCTTCTATTGGACAGCAGAAAGGGAGAGGGGTTGTGCCAACATCTGGCAGCCCCAACGTTCTCTCTCTGCTCTTCTCCCTGGCTTCAGTCTTGGCATCACTGATGGCCAGGGCTCCTAGGTATTCTGCCACATGCTGAAATACGCACCCAGGCCCCTTTCCTGCCCTGGACCCTGGTCTCACCCTGCCCTAACTCTGTGGTGCTGGCAGGCAAGCCAGTCTGGGAACTCCTGGGCAGGCTTGCAGGCCTCTGGGTCCTCTGCCCCGCAGGCCTGGTCCCCTCCCAGGACTGTCCATGAAACTCTTATCCAAGGGCTGGCTGACCTCCCTGGGGGCCAGCCGGGGGCCGTGGACTTGGAAGTCCTGAACTGGACCAAGGCCTAAAATGGTATCATAACACTGTGTCTCCAGGATGGCCACCACTCTCTAGGTTCTGTGACCAAGGCTAGCTTGGGGTTAAGGGTAAGCTCTGGTATTGGGGCCCTCTCTGCAACTCAGCCTGGCCCTACCTCCTTTCAGGAAAAGCCTGGTCAGCCCAGCCAACCCAACCCCAGCAACCCTCCGCCAGCCCGGCCAGAAGGACCTGGTCTGGAGCTCAGTGGCCTCTGACCCATGTCACCCCACCAGGCCTCAGTCTCCCCTCTGTGACCAGCTGGGTTCCCTGGGGGCAAGGACCTGGCCCTGGACCCAGCCTAGCCCATGGGCCAGGGTGTCATTTACTGCTTGGCTCTGCATCTTCCAGGACCCCTGGGCCCTGTGCAGCCCTGCCTGACCTCCTTGCCTGGGGCATGATGGCATGAGGGCTTCCAGCCGCAGGCTCAAGGCTCTGACCTTATTAAAAATACAGACTCCCGCTTCCCAAACGCAGATGTAATGAATGAGAAGCAGAGTCACTGTTGTCTGAGCCTCAGAGGCAGGCGTCCTGCAGAGTCATCAGCCTCACTCCAGCCCCGCTGACTCACTGCTCTTCTGCCTGCCAGCGGGGCTGCCCCGGGCTTCCTCGGGCTTTCTCAGACAATGAACGCCCAGTGTGGGCGCAGCCCAGGGGTCAGGGGACCGTGCAGGGAAACTGACGCAGAAGCCTGGCTGGATGGAGATCCCGCTCTGCACCCAGCCTGTGCTCAGCGAGGTCTCCGGGTCCCTACCATTGCCCACAGAGACAGGACGTTGTGTTCCTGCTGTCATGAGCACCGGGGTGACATTCTCGCAGGGACAGGCGATCAACTGCCAGTATGCTCAGGGGCAAGGGGGCTGGCCGACGTCTGACTGTGGTGGGGTCCAGAACACCTCCCAGGTCAGGTAGTACCTGAGCACTCCTGCTGGGAGTGAAGGAGCAAGTGCGCAAGGAGGAGCATTGCAGGCAGAGGGAACAGCCAGTGCAGAGGCCCTGAGAGGACATCCTACATGCCAAAGAAGCAGAGGGAGGCCAGTGTGGCTGGAGTGGGGCCAGGGTTGGGTACGGACTCAGAAGAAGACTCACTGGCTACAATAAGGACTCCTTCTGGAAGGTTCTACAGAGGGACAGACATGATGTCACTTCCATTTTAAAAGAATTGCTTGGTGGCCAGGTTGGAAATAGAGGACAAGCAAGAGGAGAAGCCAGAAAGCAGCTTGGCTCCCTTAGCCATCCCTAAGGTATTGGGTGGGAGCAGAGGGAGCCATCGGGGGTTTCTTCTGAACAGCTGAGAGTTTGGTTGGGAAGGCTGGGAAGGGGCAGGTTTGGGCAAAGCCCAGGAGACCAGCCTCCTGCATGGCCACAGACAGACAAGTGAGGGGAGGACTAGGAGCAAACAGAGCTTTCTGGAGTCCAGGGAGGGCTGGCTGGGTGAGGGGCCCCAGGGGCTGTGTGCAGACAGTGAAGAAACTGGGCTGGAGGGATGGGTCCTGAGACAAGGAGCCTGCAACGGAGCCCGTGAGCCAGGCTGCCGGCAGGAACTATGAGTGTGAGAACATTGCTGCCAGGGGCCCTTCCAGGCACTGAGAGGGGCCAGGGATTTAGTACAGTGGTGCTCAAGCTCAGAGCTCCAATCTGGAGCGGCCTGGGGCTGCGTCACCTCCAATGGGGCAGGAAGAGACACGTCGTCTCCCTTGCCGTGCTGTCCCTCCTGTAAGGGCAGGACCAAACTTGGGCGCAGAGCCCCCTGAAGAACATGGTCCCTGGGCTTCCAGCCCCCGTGGTACCAGTGGAAATGATACCGTCTGCCAAAACAACAACCAGATGTCCCACGCACACCTGTGGGGGGACACAGACTCTCCAATGTCCTGTGGCTTGTCCAGGAGCCCTCAGGCCATCTCATTTCTGTTTTCTTAGCATGAAAACAGGAAGAAACCATGAAGGAAAAGATAGATTTGACCCTCCCCCCCAAAAAAAGAGAAACCTCTGTGTGCTCTGTGTGCCAAAAAAATACTTTATATAAAGTTAAAGGACAAATTACAAACTCAGAAAAATAACTATCATAATAGAGTGCACATTTTTTGCCTCACTATATAAAGAGCTCATGGGGCGCCTGGGTGGCTCAGTCGTTAAGCGTCTGCCTTCGGCTCAGGACATGATCCCAGGGTCCTGGGATCGAGTCCTGCATCAGGCTCCCTACTCAACAAAGAGCCTGCTTCTCCCTCTGCCCCTCCCCCTGCTTGTCCTCCCTCTCCCTCTCTCTCTCTCAAATAAAATCCTTTAAAAAAAAATAAAATAGAGGGGCGCCTGGGTGGCTCAGTGGGTTAAAGCCTCTGCCTTCGGCTCAGGTCATGGTCCCAGGGTCCTGGGATCAAGCCCCACATCGGGCTCTCTGCTCAGCGGGGAGCCTGCTTCCTCCTCTCTCTCTGCCTGCGTCTCTGCCTACTTGTGATCTCTGTCAAATAAATAAATAAAAGTCTTAAAATAAAACAGAGAGCTCATAAAAATGATTAAGAAAAATATTGTCCCAATAAAAAGTTAGCCAAGAATGTAAATGGGTAATTCACAGAAGTACAAATAAATGTCCGGTAAACAGAGGAAAATTTCACTGACAAGAAAAAAGTTCAAACTAAAACGAGATACCAAAATGTATCTAATAGATTGGCCCCCCCAAAAAAACTTTCTTGTTTTTTTTTAAATTTTATTTATTTATCAGATAGAGATCACAAGTAGGCAGAGAGGCAGGCAAAGAGAGAGGAAAGGAAGCAGGCGCCCTGCTGAGCAGAGAGCCTGATGAAGGGCTTGATCCCAGGACCCTGGGATCATGACCTGAGCTGAAGGCAGAGGCTTTAACCTACTGAGCCACCCGGGTACCCTGCAGGTGGGTTTGTTTTGATGTGCTTTGCACCTGTCGGGGGCTGGTCTGAACTTTTACTTCATCCTGCAGGACCGGTCTTGGGGCCGCATTCTCAGTTCTTCGGGGCATCAGGACATGGCAGACTTGCCATCCCCGCCCCACGGGAGACAGCGACTCCCGCCACTGACATGTAGGCTCCTACCCTTTCCCCTTGCCCTGCACTTCTTTCATATACGGCCAGATACCTTTAGGCATCCCAAGCAGCGTAGTGCTCACAAAATCTTCACATTACAATTGACATGGCAGGTTTTTGGTTTTTTGTTTTTAAAGATTTTATTTATTTATTTGACAGAGAGAGATCACAAGTAGGCAGAGAGGCAGGCAGAGAGAGAGGGAGAAGCAGGCTCCCTGCTGAGCAGAGTGGGCAATGTGGGGCTTGATCCCAGGACCCTGGGACCATGACCTGAGCCAAAGGCAGAGGCTTTAACCCACTCAGCCATCCAGGCACCCTACATGGCAGGTTTAATACAACATATATGAACTAGTCTAAACTTCACAGCACAGGACGATACTGGATTTTTTTTTTTCTTCCAAAATGGAAAAGCTTGGACATACGTTCAAGGATGATACAGGATTATTTTTCTTTCTTCTAAAGTGGAAAAGCTGAACATACGTTCCAGCACCGACGGAAAACATTTTGTCTTTCCATGTAAACCGTGCGAGGCCGACATCCCAGCAGGCTCAGTTAGGGCACGGGAGAGCCGGGTGACAGAGACCCGCCAGACACAGGCAGAAAGCACCAACGTTCCAAATTGAGAAGAACAAAGCAGATGATGGGGGGGAAACGCTTGAAAAAGTTTTCTTCTCAAATGCCCTGAACTTTTCTTGTGTGTGGGCATCTCCTGCATTTTGGATGGTTCCCTTCCATTCCCAGAAGTGTGATTGCTGGACTGAAGGGCACGGTTGGGGGGTGGGTATAAGGTGCCCGAAAGGTGTTCCCAGACTGCTTGCAGGAAAGGCTCCTCAGCACCTGCTCCCCTCCCCCATGCCAGGCCTCTGTGCGGCCATGCGGGCAGTCCTGGACGTCCTTTTTCATTCTTCTTATTTTCAAAAGCTCAATTCCTTTTTTGAATAAGCGCATGCAAACACAGTTACCAACCCCGAGATGTTGCAGTCTCCCCAGTGTGACCTCCCACCAGGTACAGTCCGTCCCCTCTGCCCCCGTTACTGGTCTGCATACCTAACAAGCTCCCCAGAAGCTGCCTTACCATTTTCTTATTTCTCTGGGGGTTACTTTTTTAACCTTTACAAGAGCTTCTTCATCTTTCTTATTGTGGTGAGACACACGTGAGGCAGACTTCACCGTCTTAACCATGTTAAACACAAGGTTCATCAGCATTAAGTATCTTCACCTTCCGCAGCAGTCCCCACCTGTCCCCAACAGAAACCGTCCCCATGAAGCCCCAGCTGCCCATCCCCGCCCCCAGCCCCCAGCATCCTGCTTTTCTGTCTTGGGAGTCTAACTTCTCCAGGGACCTCCCATTCGTGAAATCACACATTTGTCCTTTTGGGGCATTCATTTTAATGCATCATTTCCATGTTTATTTCTTTCTCTGCCCCCATCCTGAGGTGGGCAGACCCGCTGGGTGGGAGGCTCTGCCCACAGCTATGGGGGCGGTACCCTGGCTGAGCTCTTCCCCTGCACGGAGGGGCTCCTGGCCCTGGCCCGTGGCCCCCTCCCGCTATTTCTCTCCTAGACTCTGAGCCCCCAGAAGCAGGCATTCATTTTGGAGCTGCTGTCTGGGTGCCTCGAGTACCGGAAGCTGCTGGCCGTGGTGGTGGACGCCTTCTACGTGCGGGCTGGCTGGTTGTGCCCACGGGCCGACTACAGCCTCTTCCAGGGTAGGTGTCCCTGCGGGCCAGGACTGCAGCCCTTGTGACAAGGGCCCCAGACTTGCAGCAGCAGTGATGACCTGGGGAAGTTGGAGTGCACGGACCCTCCTCAGGTTCCTGCTGTTTCCATGGCACTCCTGCTTTCTGGGGTCTCCCATGGGCCCTCAACTCACTGGGTCCTCAGGGATGCCCATGAGTGCACGGGCCAGGGTCCACCTGACAGACACGGACACAGACTCCGGGCCTACTGAAGAGCACAGGGCTCCTGTCCCGGGGGACAGGGCATGGGGACTGAGGGGTGCTGGGGGGCTGAGCTTGGTGGCCAGAGGTCAGGTCCAGAGCTGGCTCCTGGGCCCCGCCCATACCCACGACACTCCGGTCGAGTCCACTGCACATCGCTAGCCCACCTACCTGTTGGTGTAACCAACAGTCCCTCGGACGGCCCTCACCTGGCCCAGGGAGTTCAAGTTCCAGTTGGTTCGAGGCTACTTGGTCTCTCAGAATTAACAAACAAAAATCCAAAATGATTTTACTTCTACCCGGGGGCCTTCAGGCATTTCTGAGAACTCATCAGAGGAGTTAATGTGTGTGGAAGTGGGGCGGACACCACAGGACGTTCACCAGTGTGACACGACCTCATTTTTGCAATCCTGTCATCTTGTCATTTTCCCGGGCTGCCAGGTGGAGCGGCTGCCCTGACAGTGGTGGGGCCTGGGGCCTGTGGTGCACCTGTCAGGCCCTGGCCTCTGGCTGACTCCCCCAAGATCCAGTGCTGGGGGGCGGGAGGAGGACCCCCCAGGGTCGGCCCCACTCTCACCAGCCCTGTCTCCTTAGTGATCTGCTACCTGGCCATGTTCCAGCTGCAGGAGCTTGGCTTTCAGCTCTTCTGTGACATCGTGAGGGCCCAGCCCGTGGACAAAATGCACAAGGTGCGGCCCCTCCACCCACCCTATGTCTCCGCCTTGTTCTTTTAAGATTTTGTTTATTTGACTGAGAGAGAGAGAGCGCACGCACACAAGCGGGGGGAGAAGCAGGCTCCCCGCTGAGCAGGGAGCCTGATGCGGAACTTGATCCTGGGACCCCGAGATCACAACCTGAGCCAAACGCCAATGCCGACACATGACTCTTGTGCTGCCTGGCCTGCCCCCAGTAAGTGACCTGTCCCCAAGGCCCACCGCTCACAGTGCAGTGAGCAGTGACCACACAGAGACGTCCTATTTCCTTGTCCACATGAAGCTCTCCCTGGGGACTGCAGCATGTGGCCTCCCCTTCCAGCTGGTTTTGCGGAGCCTGGCTTGAGTGGTCTGGAGTGGTCCCCTGACTATACAAGGCCCTCCAAGCTGGAGTGTGGCTTCAGCTTGGAGGACCCCCTGACAGAGAATCCCCCCAGCAGGGCGTGGCAATCCCTTCACTAAGGGCTAGGGCCTGAGCTTCATCTCAGCAGGGAAGACAGCTCCTCCTGCGGCCATGGCCTCCCCAAGTGACAGCCAGCCGGCTCTGCAAAAGCCTCCAGCTCCCCAAGATGGCCAGCCTCCCGAGAAGCTAAACTGTGCTGTGCCTTCTAGAACCAGAACTGTTACACTTGAGGGCTGTGACTGGAAAGCAGCCGTTAGGAGCCCCCAGCCACTGGAAATTCCTGCTGCGGCGGGGTCCAAGCCATCCCAGGGCACACATCCTCAATCCCTTGAGGGTAGCTCACTCCTGGGGCCCATCACCATCACTGCCCTGGGCAAGCAGAGGCAGAATGCAGAAAAGAGGGCAACTCGTTCTTGAATTCTGGAGCCAACGGGGTGGGGGTGGGGGAGGCAGACCACTGTCCGTCTGTCCCTACCAAGAACTCTCCAGAAGTGGGGGGTGCGGGGCGCCTGGGTGGCTCAGTGGGTTAAAGCCTCTGCCTTCAGCTCAGGTCATGATCTCAGGGTCCTGGGATCAAGCCCCATATGGAGCTCTCTGCTCAGCGGGGAGACTGCCTCCCCCTCTCTCTCTGCCTGCCTCTCTGCCTACTTGTGATCTCCCTCTCTATCTCTGTCAAATAAATAAATAAAATCTTTAAAAAAAGAAAAAAAGTGGGGGGTGGGCCGTGCAGGTCCTGGGCAGCTGGCTCAAGCACAGGGTCCCCACCAGCGGGGGTGGGCCCTGCTTGGCCGGGGCATGCTACAGGACTGGGGTGGGCTGCCCCAAATGCCCAGATACCGTGTGCAGAAGCCCGTACGGTGAGGGACAGCTCCCCAGAGTGGAGGAGGGCAGGGGTTAGACATCTGTCTCTGTTATGGGGAGAGAGGGTCTGTCCTGAGGGGCTTCCTGCCTAGGTCTCCTCTCATGGTATGTTAGCCGCACCCACCCTCTGGATGCTGGCTTTCTGTGGGAGGGGACATGGGGGGGTTGGGACCCAGGTTGGGGGGTTGGGGCCCAGGACCACCCCCAGTGGTTCCTGTTTCTCCCTTAGTTCCTCGGGTTCTTCTTCAACCCCTTAAACCTGTGCTCATGGATCAAGGATGAGTGGAGCCTCATCTATGAGACCGCCCATGTGAGAGAGAACTGGATCGACCCCCTGATGAGGTGGGCCACGCTGGGGGCCTCCCTGCAGCCCACCCCACAAAGCCACCCTCACTGCCTGTCCCCATGTACCCTGACAGGCTTGGGCAGATACTGGTTTCATAGGTGCAGGCCAGGACACTCAGAAGGACAAGCATGGGGGACAGGGTAAAGCTGTCCCCATTGCTTCCCTTCTGATAGGGCCGGGGGGGGTCCACCTTGTCTTCTTGGGGCCTGAGAGACTGTTTGGGACAAGCAGACCACCTTAGGTACAGTCCAGGGGAGGCAGAAGTCCTGTGGGAAGGAAACTGACCCTGGGGCCGTGGGGTGTCCCTGGAGCTACCCTGCCCCGGAAGAAAGGCCTCAGAGTCCTCAGTCCCAGCCAGGCTGGATTCACCGTCCATCCACAGGGCTGCCAGCAGGTGCTCGGGCTGCAGGGCCTGAGAGCTACCTCTGGGTCAGTCTGCTTCCAGGGTACCCTGCCCCCTGCCCCCAGCCCCATGCAGCCCTACTGTTCCTAGACCTGGGGAGACCCCACTCCCTGTTGGCCCTTGGACAGGCCCTTCTTTCCTCTGGGGGCCATGGTCCTCAAGCTGGGGCAGGAGCTATCCAAGGCATGATGCCTGCCCTCAGGGGAGCCCCACAGGTCAGGCTGGTGGTATGGGCAATGCCCTGCCCAAACCTTGTTCCGGGACACCCCTGCCCCACCCCTGGAGCCCCTTCTCCAGCTGTCACCAACAGCACAGCTCCAAGAACTTTCCAGCACTCTCCAGCTTGCTCTGGCCTCTGTCCCCTGGGCCATGTGCTGGCCCAGATTAGCTCCACATCCCCACTGCTGCTCCTCTTCAGATCGCTGGGCCCCCGCAGTGAGGATCACTCTGGCCCCGTCCCTCCAGCTCCCCATTCACTCGCTCACCAGCGTGGCTTGGGAACACAGGGCTGTGGACCCTGCTTCCCCACCTGCTGTGTGACTCTGGGAGGGCCTGGTACAGTGCCAACATTGGAGCCATTATCACCCCACCCCGAGGTAGACTCCGGGTGCTTGGGGGCATCCTTTGGATCCCAAGGACCACGCCCTCATTGACCTGCTTTGCAAGTGGCCGTAAGTGGCTGCTCCCACCTTTGCCTTCAAGATGGCAGCCGGAGGTCCAGGAGCTGATCCACCAGCTGGAGGAAGTGATGGCCAATCAGCTCCCTCGTTCAAAGACCAAGGCCAGGGTCACAGAGCCCAAGGAGTTCAACCTGACTGTCCCCCGGCCCCGCGCCATTCCGGTCCCCGAGCCAGTCCCTGTCGTGGCCAAGTCAAAACCAGTAAGTGTGGGCGTTTGCTGTGGGCACAGGCTGTGAGCCAGGGGCCGGCTGGCTCTCCCCAGGGCTGAGGGCACTCTGGTCCAGACTAAGAGTGTTTGATGACCCCTCCTGCCAATCCAGAGCCTGCCCGGTAGATTCCTGGGCTCCACATACTGAGGTCTGGTCGGGGATGTGAAATGAGGCTGGGGGACCACGGGGCTCAGACTCCTCTGGACTGGGGACTTGCAGCCTGTTGCAGGATACCTCTCCCTCCCCGTTACATCACACACAGTGCAGCATGAATCCCCAGATTCTCTTCTGTGCTCTCCAGGCCACAGGCCAGCAATAACATCTTTATCTGTGTGACCCCAGTCACAGAGGGGCCTGCCCCACCCCAGCACCTTTGCACATCTGTCCCCTCTGCCTAGACCTCATCCCCTCCCTCTCTTCTCCCTCTCCCTATCTTGCTGACACGTCCTGCCAGTCAAGATGTTTTGTATTGCAAATAACAGGAAAAAGCTCTATCTGGGTTAGACTGCAGAGAACTGGCTGCCTCTAGTTGGATCAGCATTCTAGCTGTGCTTCTGCGGGTCCCGTCATCTTTGGGCAAACGTCCATCATTGTAGTGAACCATCCAGGCCATGAGAGGACACATAGGGCCAAGAACTCCACGACCCGCTCAGGTGGCATGCCTCCCCTTGAGCGGATCCCCTGATCAGGGTGCGGTGGTCCCTGCCCCAAGCACCTGTATGTCTCAGCTTCCTGGAACAAATCTGGTTTCCTCACAGAGTTGAGGAATGTGTGGAGGGTAAGGGGGTGGTGCTGGGGGGCCCCAGGATCCCAGCCCACTTCCACCACCCTTAGGTCACTGCAGCTTGTCTGCGCAGAGAAGCTTTCTGTAAACCCCTCACCTGTGTCAGGTCCCTCCAGTAGTTGGATGCTCCTTAGACACACAGGGCAGAGGGCCAGGAGTGAGGGTCTGGAGCACAGGGCTTTCTGGGCTGTCCCTGCCCCACCCCCCCACGGACACTGCCCCCTGCAGGCTGGTGAGGTTCCCTGTGACCAGACCCAATGGAGACTTCTCAGGTCCCTTCCCTTCCCTTCCCTGGGCTCCAGGACACTCACTTTCCTGGGCTCTGTGACACTCTCCTGGCCTCAACTGCCCCTCCCTGCCTCCTCCCTTGTCCGCTGGCCACCCAGTCACCTGCCTGATCCTCCATTGTCTCTTGGGCCTGGGCACTAGGCTCGGCCACCTTCCTTCTTGCTGCAGGCCTGACGTCCCTCCCTTCCCTCCCTCCCCTCACCAGCACCCAGGGAATCCCAATCAGAGCTCAGCAGCTTCCCTTCTAGCCCTGCCCCTCCAGCACCCGCACCCGTAGCCAGCTGGCCGTGGCCCAGCACCTCTAAGCTCCCCTCAAGACTGTAGCCGCTGACTGCAGGCTCCTCTCCTGCCATCCCACCAGGTCCCCAGGAGCACCTACCAGCCACCCAAGGAGCAGCAGCTGTTGGAGATGGCCAAGAGGTTTAATCGCTGGAAGGCCGAGGCAAGGAGCCTGCCCTGAGACCTGCCTTCCTAGAGCCCTCTGGGAGGTGGTCTGTACAGAGGGCTGGGGAGGGGAAGGCGGAGGGAGAGTGCCCTCGACCCTTCTGACTGGTAGCCACTGGGGCCAGAGCCACATGGGGCTGTTTGCAGGAGCTGCTGCTGCAGGCAAACATTGAGGAGATGCGGTGTGCGGTGCCCCGGTCCCAGGGGGAGCCTCCGATGCAGGTAACCCCCAGCCCTGCACACCCTGGGCCAGTCTTCACGGTGGCACGAGAACATTGCTCCCCATGCCCTGTCAGCGGCCACACTGTGAAACCCTCCTTTAGCCCCTCCAGCAGTTCACAGAGGGACAGGCTCCCCACATGGCTGGGAAAGTGCTCCCCAGGGCTGGGAATGGGACGGTGCTACTCCCACTCCTCCCCCATCCCAGAGCCAAGCTGAGTGCAGCCTGAGGGTGCAGGTGCAGACACCCCTCCAGACCTCAGTGGGAGCATGTCCTTGGCACTCTCTGGGTGTCCCCAGATTTCCATTCTGAGTACTTACTACTTCTATAGGAATAACAAAACTCCCGGTATGTTTGTCAATAAGGGAAAAGTAAAGGGAGCAGGACAAGGAAGACCTGTTCTTGGTGGCTGCTAGGAGCTGGGCCCTCCCTGCCCTCCTCACCGTGCCCCCCGACCCCTGTGCCCGCTGAGCCTCACGGAGGTGCTGTGGTCCTCATAAGTACCTGGGGCAGGCAGGGGAGTGGGGGTGATAGCTGGGTTCCCAGGGGGTGCCCTTTGACCCATGGCTCTGCACACTGGGGCTGTGGGGCCCGTCCTGGGAAGCCACAGAGCAGCTGCAGCAGGTGGAGAGCAAACTTGGGGGGCTGCCAGGAAAGGTCGTGGAAGCCAGCCCCGGGGAGCAGCTGGGGGGGATGGGTCCCGAGGCCTAGGGGCCAAGCTCCCCTGACTGGGAACTGCTGCCCCCAGGCCTGGCAGGCCCACTCTTTCCCTGTCCCCATCTGGGAGGTCCAACACCCTAGAGAGGTTGGAGAGGGCACTGGAGGACAGAGGTGGTGCCCTGGGGGACACATGCCTGGGTGGGCTGGGAACACAGGGTGGGCAGCTGGACTTGGGACAGAGAGGAGAGTGCTGGCCCTCCCGGGGTGCAGGGCCCATCACCTGCCCAGGGTGCATTTAAGGGCCCATGGCAGGCACAGCTACCAGGTGCTGACTTCTCTAGGCCTCTAAGAAGAAGCTGCAGCTCCGGCTCATGCCCCAAATCATGAAGACCTCAAAGCTGACCTTCTACGAGGTGAGGGGTGCTCCTGATTGGTCCAGGTGGGCACGGACACTGGTCCCCAGTCCCTGGACACCCACCTCCTGGCCTGTTTTGTGCCCAGGGGCTCAGAGGCAAGGGCAAGTGTGGAGGGCAAGGGGGTGCTTGCTGCCCCGAGTCTCCCCTTACTGTCCTCTCTCCTGCAGCCCAGTGAGGTCCCGGTCAAGCTGAACACAGCTGCCATCCTCCGAGAAGGGTCTCTGTACCAGCGGCAGGTGGAGAAAGAGCTGCAGAGGTGGGGGCGGCTGCTCCTCACCCCCCTGCAGAGGAGGGGCAGGGCAGGGCTCTTCTGGGAGAAGACGGGGCCCAGTAATTGTGGTGCTTTGGTGGGGTCCGCAAGCCGGCTGGTGTTGGGGTCACAGCTGTATCCAAGGAAGAGAATCCATCTCAGTGAGGGAGATGGACTGGACAGATGGGGACTTAGCAGAAAGCTAGCCCAGCCCAAACCTCTCTCATGAGTCACCTCCTTCTCAGACCCTGTCCTGATGCCCCTCTCCCCCCGCAGACCACCAGCACAGCAGACCCCCTGTGCTTACCCCACGGGCTGGGCTGTGGGTGGGAGTTTGGGTGGTCACCCAGATAGATGAGAGGATAGACAAGTGGACAGAGGGATGGCTGACAGACAGACGGGTGGAGGGGGGTGGCCAACAGACAGACAGGTGGACGAGGGGAAGGTCAACAGTCCAGTGAGTAGACAAACAAGTGGCTGAAGGCTGGATGCACAAGACAGGGACAGGTGGACAGCGGGCAGGTGGGTGATGTGGTGGGTGCTGGGCAAAGAGCTCCCGCACCTGTGAGGGCCACTGTCCCCAGGGGTGCCCGTGGTATCCTGGCGGTAGCCAGCACACGTCCTGACCTGGGGGGGACCCAAGCCCCACCTCTTGCCCCCTTTCCCCAGGGTGGATCAGCTTGTGGACGGGGCCGGGGACTTCTCTGAGTTCCTCGAGTGGCAAAAGAAGATGCAGGCAAAGGACCGGGAGGAGGAGCTGACTGCGGGCGAGTGCCGGCGGCTGCTGGGCAAGCTGAGCCGTGAGGAGGCCATCCTGGCCCGGCAGCACGTCACGCAGGAGAACAAGCAGAAGGCCAACCAGAAGAAGGAGGAGGTGAGTCAGCCTTGCAGGGGCCACTGGGGACCTGGGGCCGGCCAGCGGGACTGTCTGACTCCCGGAAGCTGGTGAGCTGTCCAGAGCCGGGGTCCTGGCCGCTCCTGGGGTTGCACCTGCAGGCCCACCCCGGGTCATTTTCTCCCAAGCCCCATCGTGTGTGTGGTTTGTCCCTCCCACCGAGACATCACCAGGCTCTCTGAGTGCACTGTCAGGTCAGTTCTTCTGGCCCAGACACCTCTGCCCCCACCAGCAGAGTCACTTGGCCCTCACATCCACACTGAAGGAAGACCTGAAGTTCTGGCGGAAACTTGCGGAAAGCCAACACGTGGCACTTTGGCATCTGGTGTCCACTCCCGTAGGAGGGTCTGTGGGCCTCCACGTTACCATGTCCGAAGCTGTAGACGTATCAATCTGGGGTCGTCCTCCTGCTTGGACAGGCCACCTTGGTGGGGACCCCCACCTGTGTTTCCCCGAAAGCCTGTTCCTTACAGATGGCCTCTGAGTGGCGTGGGCTCCATGGCCTGACTCAGCCCCCCATCCTTAGACATGTGTCCCTGAGGACCTGCCGTCACCTGAACGCCTTTCTGATGAACTTGTCTGTGTCTGTTTCTGTTAGATGTCAGGGTTTGCTTCTCCTTCCTTTTTAGTTTCCTTTCTTGCAAATACGAAGTCAAAACGGTATGAACAATAGACTCAGAGAAACGTCCCTTCTTCGGCACCCATTTCCACCTACTCCCTCAGCTTATTTCCCTTAATTTCTGGACAATCTCTTGTGATTCCTTCGAAGCAAATGTGTTCACTTGCCCACACACACTTCTTCCCTCCTTCTTCCCTTCCACACGACATCAGTGTGGCCTCCAAGCAAGCTTCTGGGGTCAGAGAAGGGAGACCCTCAAGGTGAACTCGAGGGGATGTCGCTAAGTCAGGAAGTAACAGAACACAGGGCTTTTGCTGTGTGGCCGTCTCCACATTGTCCGGGCCACGCGGTTTCATCAGAGAGGCAGCACTGCCTGCTGCAGGTGGTGTGCGAGGAGCTGGGCCCCCAGGACCAGTACACTGTACTGACGTCAGAGATTTGTCCCGAACCTGTGGCTGCGACATGGCATCTCGACACAGGGCTGACGTGCCTGTCATTTGTGAGGTGTGGGGCTGAGCATGTTTTTGTGTATTAACACCCATTTCTGTGACTTCTATGAACCAGCTCTTTGTGGGTTTTGTCCATTTTCTCACAGCTTTACTGAGACGTGATTGACGAGTGAGACTCATGTGTTTAAAGTGTGTGATGGGACAGGGGCGCCGGCGGGGCTCAGTAGGTGAAGCGTCCGACTCTTGATTTCAGTTCAGGTCACTAACTCAGCATGGTGAGATCGAGCCCCATGTCGGGCTCTGTGGCTCAGCGCGTCGTCTGCTTCAGATTTTCTCTCCCTCCCCCGACTCTCTGTCTCTCAAATAAATAGAATCTTTTTTTTAACTGATAATTCTATTTTTAATTTTTTGAGGAAAAATTAAAATACTGTTTTCTGTAATGGCTGCACCAATTTGCACCCCCACCGAAGGGCCCGAGGGTCCCCTTTCCTCCGCATTCTCCCCGATGCTTGCTGTCTTTTGACTGTGTTATGACAGCCGTCCTGACAGGTGAGCATGTTCACGTTCTCTGCCCATTTTTTAATCAAGATATTTGGCTTTTTTCTTTTTCTTTTTCTTTTTTTTTTTTTTTTTTTTTGTTATTGAGTTATAGAAGTACCTTGTGTACTTTTGGATGTTAACCCTTTATGGGATATATGGTTTGCAAATGCTTTCTCCCACTGCATATGTGGCCTTTTCATTTGGTTGGTTGTGCTGTGCTGAAATCTTTTAGTCTGATGTGGTCCCAATAGTTCATTCTTGTTCTTACTGCCATGTGTTGTCTAGTATTTGTGTTTCATTTTTACGTCTGGATCTCGAATCCACTCGAAGATTATTCTGGTACATGGTCTGCGATCTGGATCCACTTTCATGGCCAACCATTTCAGTCTTCCAATCCATGAACACACTATGTCTCTCCATTTACTTAAATCTTTTCTTTCGTCTAGTTTTTAGCATCCAAGTCCTGTACATAATTCTGTTAGATTTGTGCTTAAGTATTTCTTTTACTTTTTTGAGAAATTTTAAGTGATATGTACTTTTAATTCTGGTATCCATGTATTAAAATGTAATTGACTTTCGTGAATTGATCTTATATCTTGTGACCTTGCTGACCTCCCTTATTCAGTTTTTAGAACAAACAGTGAATTTTGTTGTAGATTCCTTGGGATTTTCTATGTAGACCATCATGCCATCTGTAAAGAACCGTTCATGTCTTTATTTCTGACCTGCATTTCTATTGTTTGCTCTTCTGGCTTATTGCACTGGCTAGAACTTCCAGGACTGTACCAGCTAAGAATAAGAGCATACATTTGTGTCTAGTTCATGATATCAGGGGAAATCAGTCTTTCACTGTGAATTACTGATGTTGGATGTAAGTTTTTGTGGACATACTCTCCATCAAGTTGATGAAGTTCCTCAAGTTTTTATTATGAAATGTGCTGAATTTAATCAAATGCTTTTCTGCATCAATGGATATGACCATGTACTTTTCTTTTTTGGGCTGTGAAAGTAGTAGATTCATGATAAAGTGATTACTTCTTCGTCACATGATGGAGTTTCAAATATTGAACCAGCTTCTCATCTCTACCATAAACCCCACTTGGTTATGAGATCTAATTCTTTGTCCACATGCTGATTCTATTTGCCACTATTTTTATTTTGATCAACTGTTTCTGCATACAGTTTCATGTAGGATGTTAGTCTGTGGTTTTCTTCCTTGTACTGAATTTGTCTGGTCTCAGTATCAGGGTCATACCAGCTTCATAAGATGAATTTGGAGGTATTCACTTCTCTTTTATTTTCTGGGGGAGATTGTATAGAATTGGTGTCAATTCTTTCATATTTTGCAAAATTCTCTGCTGAAATCATAAAAGCCTGGAGATTTGTTTTTTGAAAGCTTTCAAATTACAAATTTAATTTCCAAAAAAGTTACAGAGCTCTGCAAATGATCTGCTTCATAACGGGTAAGTAAGTTGTGGTCATTTGTGTTTTTTTAAGGAATTTGCCCATTTCATTAAGTTGTCAAATTTATGCATATAAAGTTGTTTATAATATCTTATTATCATCCTTTTTTTAGTGTCTGTAGGATCTATAGTAATATAACTTCTTTCATTCTTGATATTGGTAGTTTTGTGCCTTTTTACTTTTCTTCTGCAAGTCTTGCTAGAGATCCCAAGACCCCGGGATCATGACCTGAGCTGAAGGCAGACACTTAACTGACTGAGTCACCCAGGTGCTCCAAATCCTGTGTGTCTTCCTCCCAAGCTTCGGTCTTGTGCTTGGTCCTATGCTGCCCATCCCCTTGTTGCAGGGAAAGCCAGGACACACTGCTTCTTCTCCTCCCTCCCAGCTGTGTCTGTGCTATCCCCAAAATGCGGCTCAGCTGGGGGCCTGGGGACCCTGCTGGGCAGGCCTCCTCGACCACAGTTCTCTCAGTCTTTGTCCATAGTTTACTCACATGATGTAAGACCCCTCGCAGATTTCAGTAGCCTGCCTCTTTTCGTCTCCTATTTCCACACGAGCATTTTCCCACTTATTATCAAGTTTTTGAAAGCACTTTTTTAAATACGCTTTTTATTTTGGAAAAGTTTTAAGAGTTACAGAAAAGTTGCCAAGATAGTGCTGGGTGTTTCCGTGTCCTCCCACCCAGCTGTCCTGCTGGTGACATCTTCCAACACCACAGCACATCTCCAGGGCTGCCACAACAAAGCCCCACAGTGCGGAGGGCTCAGATCACAGTTCCGGAGGACCCAGGTCCAAGGTCAAGCAAGGTGGCAGTGGGGCCACGCTCTCTGCTAAGCTCCTCGGGGAGGGTCCTTCCTTGCATCTTTGCATCCTCACCTACTTGGACATAAGATCACATTCTGAGGTTCCAGGTAGATGTGAATTGGGGGGACACTGGCCCAATGCACCATGGGATATTTGTCACAGCTAAGTAACCAACACTGGTACATGACTCTTCACTAAACTCCACACTTCCTTAAGATTTCAGCTCATTTTCCCCCTCACAAATGCCCTTTTCTTATCCCAGGACCCCACATTACATTTAAAGGTCATGTCTCAGATTCTTCTTGGCTGTGACGGTTTCTAATACTTATCTTGTTTTTGATGACCTTGACAGTTTGGAGGAGAGCTGGTCAGGTATTCTGTGGACTGCCCCTTGGCGGGAATGTGTCTGATGTTCTTCTCATGGTGAGACTGGGGCAGTGGGTTTTGGAAGCAAGACTGCAGGGGCGAAGTGCTCTTCTTATCACATGCTCTCAAGGGCATCTGCTTTCAACAGACTCATCACTGGGATGTTGACCTTGGTCCCCTGGTCAAGGTCGTGCCTGCTGTTCTCTCCACTGCCATCATCTCCCCCACCATTCGATACTCCATAGAAGGGGGTCTGTAAGCAAAGCCCACACTCAGAAAGCGGTGCCTACAGAGAATTCCTCTGCGCGGAGGACTCCTCTCCTCTCCCTCACTTATTTATTCATTTGATTGCTTCTTTCAGTGGGGACTCATGCATAGTTGTTTTACACTTTGTGTTATCACCCAATGGGACAGTATTTGCTGCAAGCTTTGGCTTTTGGAAGCTCTTCCAGGTGGGCTCCTGTATCCCTCTGCCTGCCCTCTGTCCTTCTGCCGGGTGAGCACTTCTAACTCTATGGTCTAAATCGAAAAGGTTGGTCAAGAGCCATTTTTGATGCATGCCAGCAAACTGTTTTACAGAAGGATTATTTCATGCCCCATCTCTAAGCCTGAAGTCCAAGCTGCCTGCAGGCTGACTCCATCTTACTGTGCGGCTAAAGATGAGCTCCCCATTGCACAGGCAGCCGGAGCTGGGAGTTGGCTCGCTCCATGGCCACCCTGGGCCAGTGACAGGAGGTGTAAACCCCACGCTGTGCCTTGCAGTGTCTTGAGGACTAAAAACAGTGTTCTGAATTATTCACCATAGCACCAAGCCAGAAGCAATCTGAATGTCCATCCACAGTAGAATGGATGAAAGCTTTGTGATATAGTCCCCAAAACATACAGCTACAAAAATAAGCCAGCTACAGTCCAAGAGACCACAGTGCAAGGCAAATGAATGCAGAATGGAGCAAAAAAGGCGAGAAGTCCCTGGACACACAGGAGGGTGCCAGTCACGTGCATCCAAGTGGCAAAACCGCCCCCTGTCCTGTTGTTTAAGACTCTGCCCTAATGAGGCACTGTGAGAAAGAAGAGAGGGGGGTGACCCAACAGGACATGCCTGGGGGCTCCTAGGACAGGAGCCTGAGGCTGCCCGGAGGTCTGGCAAGTCCTGCGCTCCCTAGGGCTTCCAACCAATGAGAACCCACCTCTCTCACCTGGCATCCAGGGGTAGGTGGGCTTTGGGGCAAACCCAGTGGCTCTGACTTGGTTTTCCCAGGACCATAATGGAGGAAGGGAGGAGATGAGGTGGAAACTCCCCTGACCTCCAGGGGACTCCCAGGAGCTGAGGAGCTTAGATTCGGCTTCCAAGGTGGCTGGTTCTGTTCCCTGGACCTCATGCCGTTCCTGGGGCAGGGACAGAGCAGGAGACACAGGCCTGCTCCGGGGGGCACCTCTGGCTCTGACCGTGCCGGGTCGGTTGTCTGAGCAGACGGCGGAGCTGCTGCAGCAGTGCGCTGAGAGGCGCCTCCAGGAGGAAAAGTCCATGAAGGAGCTGGTGGAGCAGGTGACAGAGGCGCAGAAGAACGTCAAGCTGGTGCAGATGAAGCTCCTGAAGGACCGGAGGCAGACAGGTACGGCGAGGGGCGAGGTACCACAAGGCTGAGCCAACTCTGCAACCCCCAGCTGGCTTCCAGCCCCAAGGGAGCCACCGTGGTTGGCAAGAGCCTCGATGCCCTCCAGGGAAGGCTGGGGTGGGGCAACCCCCCTCCGACCCCCTTGGCACCCTGCTTGGCCCCAAAGTTCAGGAGGTGATGGAGGAGAGCCGGGAGCTGCTGCAGCGCAGCGCAGAGACAGCCAAGGAGGAGCAGAAGCGGCGCTGTGAGCTCATCTCCCAACTTCGAGCCCTGGAGACCCAGCCTATGCGCAAGGGCAAGCTCGTGGACCTGACCCAGGTGAGGACAGGGCAGGTCCTAGCGGAGCCTCCCCATGTCCTGCTGCGCCTGGCATGGCCATGGGAGGGCATGTCCACAAGTCCCACCGAGACCAATGGGGGTCTGGCCCTGAGCTGAAGTGCACCTGGCACTGAATGCTATGGTTGCCCTGCCTAGGGCGGGCCCAAGGGTTCATGGTCCTGTAGGTGAGACCTCTGCAACCTCTGGCGACCAGAGGCTAGGGGCCCTGGGAGTGGGCAAGTTAGGCTTCACAAGACGGGCTTCCTGTTGAAGGAGGTCCCAGGACTCCCTGGCCCGGGTGGAAAGCACAGTGTAGGGGGAGTGCAGGTACACAAAGGCTGGAGGCGGGGAGGCTGAGAAGAGAGCACTGGGGCCCAGAAGCCTGTGTGAGAGGCACCGGGAGAGGCCAGGGTGGCATCTGGTGAGGCGGGAGCAGGCCCGGAAGGGCCACGGCTGCTGGTCTGTGAACCTGGCCTGATCCCAGGGCGCACAGGAAGTCCAGAGGGCACTCTGCTCAGGCCCCCAGGATCTGGCTTGGGGACACAGCAGTGAGCTTGGGGAGAGGCAGTGAGCTCCGTTTGGGCCCTCCCACAACAGTGGGGCCTACAGGGCACTCAGGTGAGCTGTGCAGTCACAAGAGGGGGGCCCAGGCTGGAGAGGCTGAGTGGCAGACATGTTATACAGCTGCTACTGAGCAGAGGGAAGAGGTCTCCTGGGCACAGGGGGGCCAGACTGATGGAACATGGGGGAGGGGCACCAGCTCCAGGGCAGGGGACCGGTCAGGGCACAGGAGACAGCTGTGCAGTCTGGGCACGGGCCTGGAACCCCGTTTCGGTTCTCCCCTTCACCCCGCAGATCCCTGGGTATGGCCTGGAAGGGGAGATGTCTGTGGTGGAGCTTCGAGAGCGGCTGGCCCTGCTCAAGGAGAGCCAGCGGCGAGAGGAGGAAGAGAAGCGAGACCAGATCATCCAGGGCAAGCGCGCGAGAAGCCAGGACCTGCAGAATAGGGTGGAGCAGATCTCGCTGTGCCGAGCAGCCATGGGCAGGTCTGCCGCCCTGAGGTAGGTACCGCTAGTCCTCGGGGCCGGCAACTCCGGCAGGAACAAGGTGTGCCTGCCTCTGCCTCCCCCTCCACCCCTCTCCCCCACAGGCTCTCCCTGCACAACAGAGCAACCTCCTGCAGTTTCCTTCCAGTAGCTTCTCCCACTCCTATTTTATTAGATCATTTCCAGACATACAAAAATGGTGACAAAACTGTGCAGTGAAGGCTTGGATGCAAAATGATTGCATGCAGACCACGAGTAGGGCCTTTGCATCTAGCTAGCTACTTACCTGTTCCTGAAGAACCATCTGGAAGTAGTTGCAGGCATCAGACACTCTTCACTCCTGAACACTTCAGAGGCCATCTTCTGAAGGAAAGACATGGTCCTATATAACACAGCACAATGATACAACTAGAAAATTCAACGAAAATTCCCATCATCTAAATATCCTCTCCGTGTTCATGTTTCTCTAGCGTCTCAAGACTGTTGGCTATAGGTTTTAAAAGATTGTTTGCTATAATTGTTTTTTTCCTTTTTAAACCAAAACCTGGGTGAGATTCACACACAGCATTTGATTGTCAAGCATCTCGACTTGACTTCTGTCTTTTATTTTTAAAATTTTTAAAAACGATTTTACTTACTTATTTGACAGAAAGAGAGATCACAAGCAGACAGAGAGGCAGGCAGAGAGAGGGGGAAACAGGCTCCCCATAGAGCAGAGAGCCCGATGAGGGGCTCGATCCCAGGACTATGTGGTCATGACCTGAGCTGAAGGCAGAGGCTTAACCCACTGAGCCACCCAGGTACCCCATACTTCTCTCTTTTAATGGGGAGCACGTGCACACACATCCTTTTGTTTTGGGAACACCATGGTGGCTTTTCCAGCCCCACGAGTCTGTCCCGTGGCAGGGTGGTCAGGCACAGGTTGGTGTCACACCCCCAGGGTCAGATGGCACTTAGCCCTGTCACAGCATAGCCTGTTTCAGGCCCTGGCACCCAGGGCTCCAGAGACGGTGTGTAACTGGGGCGGGGTGGGCAGAAGGGAGGACAGTCACAAAATCCATCACTATTGATCCTGAGCGACTGCTGCTCTGGTTACAATTTGAGGAGGCCCCATGACAACTGTGGGGCAGGGCTGGCTGGCCACTCAGCAGGTCCCCAAGGTGGCAGGCACCTGGGAGACCTCACTACTTCCAGACTCAGCCTGATGGAACCCACGTGCAGCCTGGTTGGTGTCAGGGAGACTGCAAGGATCCAAACCTGCTAAGGAAGCTCCTGGAGCCTTCTGCAAGCAGCCAGAGCCTTCTGCAAGCATTGACTCACCGGCACCATTTTCATGGGCAGTCTGACTGGCGGGGCTGGGATGTGCACTTAACCCAAAGCCATCCGGGAGCAGTCTGTAGAATGAGACTTCATTTTGGATGGAAAAACAGCCTAGTATGATAGAGATTTGCAAAGCTCTGTTAGCAGGGATTGCCTCTCGGCGAGAGAGTGGCAAGGAGAGCGCAAGATGAAAGAGGGTTTTCACTTCTTTGCTCCAAATACCTCCGTAGCTAATAGACAAAGTTACGTTCTTAAAACGTTAAGTGCAAAGAGCAAAAAGGTAATGGTACTGGGCACTATTAGCGGTCCTTGGACGGCACCCCAGCGGTCCTTGGAGAGACTCTCCCCCCTGCACCTGAAACACTCCCGTTAACCTCCGTTTGGGGCCCCTGCTCAGCCCGCCCTGTCGCCCGCTCAGGTGGGAGGAGAAGAAAGCCCGCTCTGCTGCCCCGGGGGTGCCCTCCCAGGACGAGCGCGTGCTGGAGCTGCAGCGCAAGGTCGAGGAGAAGGTGGCGGAGCGCCGCCGCAAGCAGGCAACCCTGAAGCCGGTGCCGGCGCCGGCGCCGCGCCCCGCGTGCACTAAGGCATGGGTGAGCTCTGGGAGCGTGCGGGGCGGCTGGGCGCACAGTGATGGCGGGGAGGTCGTGGACCCGGCGCAGGGGCAGTGGGGGCGACCCCGGCCCGCGCCGACCTCTCCTGGGGCGCGTCTGCAGGCGCACCTGGAGGAGCAGCACTGGCGGGATCTGCAGCAAAGCCGCGAGCGCCGGCTGCGAGCGCTGCAGCAGAGCACCTCGGCCGCCGGGCACGGGCGCCGCCTGGAGGCCGCCTGAGCCCGGCGGGCGACCCCAGACCCGGCGCAGCCCGCCCAGCCAGCCCAGCCCGCCCAGCAGAGCGTGCAGAAAGCGCAGTACGCCTACTCTTCCCCGCCCGCGCGCCCCGCGGCACGCCCCCGGCCGCCCCGTGTTCTCCCCCTCCCCCGCCAGAACAGGGCTGCCGGACAAGATGCAAGGCGCCCAGTTACTGCTGGGACAAACACACTAAATAAAAGTATCCGCTTTTATCTGCAATTCGAATTTATCTGGGTGTCCTGTACTTTATATGCTAAATCTGACCACCCTGACCTAGATCCTCGCCCTTCCCTGGGGCGCAGCGCAAAGCATTAGCCACGTCCCTCTTCAGAGCTCCCAGAGCCACCTCTGCACGTGAAAACTTGGGAGTCCCCACTCTCTGCCCGGAGTCTGGTGGCAAGGCTTACCCCCGTGTGGTTGTGCACGTGAGTTTGATTGAGGTGGCCCGGGTGCTTGAGCCACTGGGAAAGGCCTATCTCAGGACCTACCTCCAGCAAACCTCACTGCAGCCATGGCGGGGAGGGGGCCAAGGGGATGCAGGAACTGTCCCCTACCCCCATTCTGCTGATGAGGCCAGTAGTCCTCAAAGAGGTAAAGTTACCAACCCCAAAAGCCTTGACCCAAAGCTAAGTCTGCTTGACTTTAGAGCCCCACCCAGCCTTCTTCAGCAACAACAAAGGAGCATGACTGGAGCCAGTGGGCATGAGCCCAGACGGGGACACATTCATAATTTTGGTTCCTCTGGATCCAGCGCCAGGCTGGAGAGGGCATGACCTTGAGGATAGGCTGGCTGAGCAAAAGCCTGCTGTGGAAATGCAGAATCATGAATAAAACACAAGGTGCTGCAGCTCCAGGAATGACAGAGTCTGGGCACGGCCCCAGGGGGAAGGGCTGGAAACAGCCGGGTAGTTAGATGTCCAGGAGAGATATGCCCCCAAACTTGACATCCTCCTTGGCTCTGTTGGGGAGATGACACCTCAAAGGGGGAGGCTGGACCCCAGGGCACATTCTGACCAGGAAGATGGGCATCTTAGAGTAAAACAACAGACTGAACACCAGCGTTCTTCCCCAATATTTTGAGCAGTGTCAGAAACACAGGACTTTCCCAGGTTGATAGAGAAATTTCCCACCTCCCTGTCGAAAGAGCTGGGGGCTTGAATTTTATTTTTTTCATTTAATTTATTTTATTATTCATTTAAGGAAACAAATGTGACATTTTTTACAAGTGTTATGTGAGATGGAAATCCATTCCACTTGATTTCAAGGAAATACACGGACGATGGCCTGTCCAGAGTCCCTCGGGAGCTCTTTGAGTTTCAAAGGATGCATATTAACTCCCGTAGCTGGCAGTCCAAAGGTGGGGTGGGCTTCAGGACATGCCTGATGCTGGAGCTTGGTCTCCAAGCCAGTAGCAGTTCCAGCCTCACGACATCGAAGAAGAAGAGTCATCTCTCCCTGGTGGCTCTCTTAGGAGGGCTCTCTGTCCTCAAGGCATTGTGTGAACATCTGCTCCAGGCTCACTGGCCTGAAATGAACAAGCCCTGTGGAGCCAGTTCCTGCAGTGGGAGAGGTCTGTATGGGTGCCCAAAGCAAGCACTGTGGCAGGAGGAGGGGACACTAACCCTTCACCTCTCAGGCCGGCTTCTGGAGCATGGTGGGGAGGTGCTAGCCCCACCAATTTGTGGCGCCATAGGCAATGATGCTGGTTGGCAGTGCACACTGATGTCCACAACTGCCCTCATGGACTGGGCAGCTGCTCAGAGCTTGTACCATACCAGCCTGAGGGGGAACAGACCTTGTGTTCTAGATTGACAGCAAAATGTCTCCAGTATCCAGGTCCCCTGCCCTGTGACCTCTCATTAAAATGCAGTCTGTTTCCCTCAGTCCTTGAATCTGGACTGGCTTGCGTGGGCCAGCAGGGTGCAGAAGTGGCTGTGTGCCAGTTTTGAGGCTGAGCCTCATGTGGCCTTGGAGCTCCCTCTTGTTCTACTGGAACAAGCCCCAGGGTGAGCATGTCCAGGGTGGCCTGCTGGGAGGAGACACTATATGAGGTCAGCCAGTTGTCCCAGCAGAAGCCATCCTCATCCATACTACAAACCAGCAGAACCCAATATGTGAGGCCAGCCAGAAACAGAACCTCCCCGTGCGCCACTAACTTGTAGATTTATTAACAATAAATGCCTCTTTGTTCAAAGCACTGAGCTTTGAGGTTTGTTCAGAAGTGGCTAACTGGCCTTCATTTACCAAGGCTTCCCCCCACCTGCAAGAAGCTTTTTTAAAAAGGTTTTATTTATTTTGGGGGAGGAGAGGCATGCCTAGAGCCAGACCTGGGGCTTGATCCCATGACACTGAGATCATAAGCTGAGCTAAAACCAAGAGTCAGGCACTTAACCAACTGAGCCACCCAGGTGTCCCCTTCACGAACCCTTTGAGAGAGTACAACTGCCCCTGGAAAGCGGGCCAGCCAAGCGAAGCCAGGTCCATCTGAGGCGGAGAAAGCTCTCTCTAGACCACCCAGGAAACTGACATTCTGCTTCAGTGCATTTTCTGTGTAAATGCAGCCAGAAAACCCTCACTGACAGTACCTGAAACTCACTTGGATAGAGGTTCTCTGCAAATAGTTAAAAAGCAGACTCTCCGACCTCATCCACAGATTCAGGTTCTGGTGTGATGCCCAGGAATCTACATCAGCTGTGTGGCACTTGGAAGCAAAAACGTTCCAGTCTTTTCTCTGAACTGGAAACATTCAGGGCCAAAGGCATCATCTGTGAGGGAGCCAGGAATGTTCACACCCCAAGTTCAGTGCCAAATGAAGTTCAGAAAGAACTTAAAGGTCACAACCCTGAGATCATGACCTGAGCTGCAAATCAAGGGGTTGGACACTCAAGTGACTGAGTCACCCAGGCGCCCCTCAACATCACATGTTTAATGTGATTAAAGTTACAAATAGAGGGGCACCTGGGTGGCTCGGTCTGTTAAGTGGGTGCTTTCAGTTCATGTCATGATCCTAGGGTCCTGTGATGGAGTCCTGCATCAAGTTTCCTGCTCAGTGTGGATCGAGCCTGCTTCTCCCTCTGCCCATGCCCCTGCTAATGCTTGTGCGCAGGCTCTCTCTCTCTGAAATAAACAGAACTGAAAAAAAAAAAAAATAAAGTTACAAATAGAAAACCCTAGCTTTTCTTTAGGTTGCGAAATTCAAGTTACTAATCTTCTTTTTTAAATCTTTAACTATCATTTTGATTAGTTGTGTATGGTTCCATTTACAAGCTGAAATCCCCTTTAACATCTTTTTTTTAGATTTATTTTAGAGATAGAGAGAGGGTGGGAGGGAGGGAGGGAGGAAGTGTACAAGCATGGTGGGGGGCCCATGGGGCACAGAGGGGGAGAATCTCAAGCAGACTCCCTACTGGGTACAGAGCCAGACACAGGGCTCCATCCCAATACCAGTCAGATCATGACCTGAGTTGAAACCAAGAGTTGGACGATTAACCCACTGTGCCACCCAAGCGCCTCCCCTTTCTCATTTTAAACTGCATTTACACATGTAGAGTCTAAACCTGTTTTTTTAGCCTTTCTGAGGATGTCTGGAGAGCAGCCATGACGGCGGTGGCCTGGATCTGGGTTCCTTCAGAACAGGAGGGACAGGCTAGGCTTTCTATTGCCAAATCCATGTCCAAGTGCAGTTCCGGCTGCTCAACTCCAGGCACCCACCTCCCGCTATTCTGCTGAGGTTCTGCCCGGCATACGCCTGTGATGTTCTGTGTGGGGTCCTCCCTCTCCCCACCGACCCCTCTGAAGAAGGCACTGGACTATTACTCTCCCCGTATGCCTGGTAAGGGGACTGGGGAGACCTGCTCAGACGGAAGAGCTGGGATTCACACTCAGGCAGGCGGGGTCCAGAGCCCGCAGTTAGGCCCCAGGCCTCAGAGCGCTCCGGCATCTGCCCGCATCGTGGCCTTTCCCCGGACTAGTCCCGGCCGCAATCTCCCCCAGGGACTCACACAGGGGTACACCCTGTGCTCCGCCGCCCCCCGGGGTTCCCTTCTTCACATCCACTGCCCTCGGGATAACCCAGACTCAACCCGAGATTAGGTCCCCCCACAGGGCTCTCGCGTCCCCCCACAGCCGCCGCTCCCCGGCTCTGCTCCTCGCACCGCGGGAGGCCTGCCGGCTCCCGGACCCGCCGGCCTATCTCTGCACACCCCGGCTCCCTCTCTTGAGACCGCCCTCTTCCCTTCCGGCCCTTTCGGGTCTTAGATCCGAGGTCGCTTCCTCCAGGGAGCCCTCCCAGAGGCTCCGTCTAAGTACCTCCTCCCGGCCCTCGCAGACGGGCGAGGCTGTGCGTCCCTCTGGTCTTCGCCGCCAGCCTGGGAGGCGGTCGGGGATCGCGGGCACCAGAAGCCGTGCCCGGAGCCTGGCACGCCGAGTCGCGGGCGCCCCGGAGTTGGTGCAGATTCGGGTCCGGGTTCTGGCCGACAGCAGAGACTCCGGAGCCACTGCTCACCAAGGCCACGCTAACAGGAGGGGAACTTCGGCCGCTGGCCCGAGATAACATCCAGCTCCGCGCCGTCGCCTCAGAACGCCGGGAGCCCACCGCCGCAGTAGCCCAGTAAACTACAACTCCCGAGAGGCCTTGCGCGCCGGGGGGGGGGGGGTGTGCAGGCCGCGAGTCTCGCGGGAAGGCGGGAGCTCGAGCTTGCGGACGTGGGCGGGGCCGGAAAGAAGCGCATTTCAAAGCGGTAATAGATGGTTTTTTTAGCCAATAGGATTGAAAACATACCTCCTGGACCGGTAGACCGCGGGAGTCGAGGAGACGACGGCCAATGGGAGTGCGCGGGGGATGAAACCCAGGCCTCAGGAGCGGAAGTGGGTCGCTGTGGAGGCGGCGGCGTCTTGCTCGAGGATTTCTCCTCGGTGGCTTCCGGGGGTGCTTCCTCGCCAGAGTGCGTCGGCGGCGGTTCCTGCCGCACCAAACTCGCTCC